TGAATTGTGTTTTGGTTTTTGGATTGGGTAGCCGCGAGTTCCCCTGCAGAATTTCTTCTTCTCTGCCGTCGGCTTCTCCCCCCTGCTAGGCTCGGTTTTGCTTGCTAAATTTTGGTAAGTTGCCGGCTTTTCCAAGCTTAAAAATTACCCATTTAATTGCTGGGTTTTGTCCATTAAGTGCTGCCCTGTGCTTGCCCGAATTTTGCTAAAATGGGGGAGGAATTCCGGTAGCATTTAAATGTGTTTTGTGCTTGGTTTATGTAGGAATTTTGTTAATTGGGCTGTTGTGATGTTGTGTAGGAGTAATACCGTGACTTAGCCATTGTTGGCCAAAGCCGTGGGTCTCCATTGCTTGTCTGGGAAATTGGAATGAATTTTGATAGCTAGCTATGTTTTTAAGTGTGGTTTAAGTAGAAAATTAGCTTGTTCTGATTGTTGTGAGATTTGGAGAAAAACCCCGTGAATTAGCTATGTTTTGCTAATTTGGGAGTTGAAGTTACTGTTCACGAGGTACTGTTCACTGGGTACTGTTCATAGGCACTGTTCACACACCGAGGGTTAATGATTAACGGGGATTTAAAGGTTAGTTTGTGATATAAGAATGAATTTGGAGATATCCGGTTATGTGGAGATTGATAGAAATAGCACTGTGATTAGGGATAGTGCTAATGATGATTTTACTGTGAATTTGTGGTGGTATGGTTATTAATTGTGGAATATTGTGATTAGGTTTTGATCGTTCTGTCGCCATAGCACTTGGGTTAGCCTTCTGTTCTGTGCGAGTGAGGTAAGTAAATTATGGTAAAACCCTTCGATTTTAAAGCACGTTTTCAATTGTTTTTGAGATGGTGGCAAGGTTTAAATTGATTTTAAATCAGTTTTATCAGTATTTGGGTGTAATTAAACTGAAATGGAAATTGTGATGATTTTGTGGGAATTTCATTGTTTTTCAGGAATTGAGCGTGATTAGCATGAAAACGGGAATTTCATTGTTTTTCTGGAATTGAGCATGATTTGAATGAAATTGTTGTCATTACATTGAGTAGAGCATGCCTATTTGAAATTGACTGAATTGTTTTGATGAACTGAGAGCTTTGTAAATTATGATTTTCTGTTAAATCCATGCCCACATGGAATTTTCTGGTTATTTCTGAAATTATGGATTTCGGTTGTGAATTATGGATTTTTGGAAATCCGGCATGGTTTTGTCTCGGATATAGTCATGATTACTGACGCCCGCTAGTGGGAGATGTAAACGCTAGCACATGTCGACATGTATTTCTGTAGAACCGGTTCACCCTGCCAATGGGGTTAAACACTGGCACTACCTGACGCCTGCCAGTGGGAGTGTGTTAAACACTGGCACTACCTGACGCCTGCCAGTGGGAGTGTGTTAAACACTGGCACTATTCCTAACGCCTGCCAGTGGGAGTTTGTTAAACACTGGCCATGACTTATAGATGAGACTACTGATGAGTTTTATTATGCATGAATGGTTTATCATTGAAAGTTCTGTTATGCTTACGTGGTTTATCATTGAAAGTTCTGTTATGCTTACGTGGTTTATCTGGCATGTTTAAAAGTTTTACCCAAGGGCTATCCATATTTACTTACTGAGATATTTTATCTCACCTCGTTTTCCTTGTCCACCGTTTTAGGAAACGAAACTGAGGACGGGAAAACCGAGGGGAGTGACGAGTTAGAAGGCTAGCCATTCAATTGGGGTATAAGTTTTAGATTTTATCATCCTTTTGTAAGGTTGATTTTATTCATGAGATTTTGTGATTTGGATAAGTTCCGAGCCTTGTGCATTTGTGGGACTCTCTCACGAGTGCACGGCGTCTGTCGCGTCCCCGGATTTGGGTTCTGGGGCGTGACATTTGTTTTGGTCATTGCTTTCAAAGAATAATTAATTGAATGTATCTAAGTAAGCAAAGGAGAAAATCAAGTGAAATTTTTACTTGGAATGAAAAGAAGACTAAAAGCATAAATAAGTAAACAACTTACCTTAAAGTCTTTAGAGAGAAAAGTTGGTGACAAAAAGAGCACTTGTCGGACTCATAAGAGAAAAAAAGAAAGGGCTGAGTGAACGCAATGGTGACTCGATAAGACTAAGATCCAAGTTTGAGATAATGTTAAAGACTAAAGAGAAATGTGGAGTCAAAACTTGAAAGTCAAAGGCTATATAGACTATGGAGGTTGAAGAATATAAGAAGAGTTTGAAGTTTGAAGAGTTAGAGTCTTCGAGAGTATTAGGACAAGCAAGAATAGAAAAGGTCGGCAGGTGAGTTATGAGTAGAGTGAGATTATTTTTACTTCTAGAAGATGATGAGTCAAGAGAATCAATTAGTTAATTAGGAAATATTAGTCAATTATTAGAGGTTTAGGTGGGATTGGGAATTGGAAAACAAAATAAATAAATAATAAATTAAAAAATTTTAAATTTTTAGACGGGTAAATGGGTCAAACCTGTTAACCAGATGGGTCAACCTGTTATTGACCCATGACCCTTCGGGTTTTCTTAACGGGTTATTAACGGGTCACAGGTCATAAATATATGAGCCTAACCCGTTTTAAACGGGCGGATAATAGACGGGTTAATGGGTTGGGTAAAAAATTGTCAGGTCTACTTGTACCCCTTAAATTTATTTTTATTTTGTTGATAAAAAAATGTTTATTAAAACTAGCTATCTAAATAATTCAATAGGTGGTATTTTTCTCATAAAAATAAAAAATTTTAAATTCAAATCACATGACATATAAATAGGAAAGTTAAATGATGAAAAAAGATTATCTTTCGTTATAAAACCTAAAATAAAAAATATTTATTAAAGCTCAGAGTTGTATTGTTTCTAATTCATTAATGTCTCCTTCTTTGAAAAAAGAAAAAGATTGCAGTATTTTTGGGTGACAATGACAATATCTATGGGTAGGGATTTTATTTTATTTTATTTTATTTTATTATAAAAATATAGTTGTATTCGTGAAGTC